CTTTCAAAATCGTTCGGGATCGCTCAGAATATCTCAGAAACTCTCAAAAGCTCTCAGAAGCTCGCAGAAGCTCTCAGCAGCCTTTTGAAGCTCTCAGGAGCTTTCAAAAGCTCTCAGAAGCTCTCAGCAGCTCCCAGAAGCTCTCAGAGGTTCTGGGAAGCTCGCAGAGGCTCTCAGAAGCTTTCAGAAGTTCTCAGAGCATCGCAGAACCTCTCATCACCTCTCAGTCAGACCGGGGAAGAACCCAGTTTAAGGGGAAATATCCCAGTTTGCCGGAAAACAATTGCTTCTCATCGCGGACTTTCCAGGCATCAGAGGTGGCCATGGACCTGCCCGCCTTGAGGCACAATGGTCGGTGTGGGGATGCCCCGTAGCGGGAGGTCTTCTCTTGCCCGGTCAGGCCAGCCTCCGTGCCCGAGGATGCGAACGCCGCCCAATGCGCCACCCCAGCCAGCCAGCCCAGCTCGCCTTCCCCTTACCCCCTCTTCTGCCCTCGAGCTCCGCGTGACCCCCCTCCCCTCTCCACGCCCTCTGCCCCCCTATCCCCTCCCCGCCTCCCCCTCCAGGCCCACCCAATCGACTTCACTCCCCAAGCCCACCCAGGAGGAGGAGGAGGAGGAGGAGGAGGAGGAGGAGGACCAGTGTAAACCCACAAGCAAATCAACGCTGCTGGAATATGCCCTCCCTCCAAACTCCCTCTTCATAGGCTGAGCTGCCTCGTTGGAAGGCAACCGTCTGAAGACCCTAAAGCATGCCAAAATATTGCTCTCGGGATTCCAATACCACGGATCAACCTGATTGTTGCGTCTTGACGATCCTGGATCGTGCCAGAACGGCATTCTTGGGAATTCAACACCGCGAATCAACGTAACTTTTGCGCCCTCCAAATCCAGAACCCGTCCAAAACGCCATAACTGGTACGTTGATCATGGGAAACCGTGAAACTCTTCAAATCTGCTAGAACGAATGCGCGGATCCACGTGTTGAAAGGAAACCGCCCTCAATCCTTGAAACGCTGACAATGTTTGTCGACGATTGTGCACGGCGCTAAGGCAAGAACCACATTTTGAAAACGGGTTATCCTCAATACGTGGAACCCTTGACATTTTTTACAACAAATGTGCGCGGCGCTACGGCGAGAGCCACCTTCTGAAAACCACCCGCCCCCAATTCGTGAAGCTCTTGCACATGTGTAGAACGAATGCGCGCGGCGCTACGGCGAGAGCCACATTTTGAAAACCACCCGCCCTCCATCTGCGCGACTGTTGTCAACCGTTAAACTTCACAGCCATACATAATAAAGAAGTCTCGTGCGAAACGCCCGACCCGCCCTAAAAGCAGGCCTCGGGGTGCGACAGGGAGAAGTTATTTATGTAGAAGGAAAGGAATGAAGGAAGAGGATGAGGATGAGGAGGAGGAGGAGAGGAGGAGGAGGAGGAGGATAGAGGAGGAACATAATCGAGAAGGAGGAGGATCGAGGAGGAGCACGAGGAGGATCGAGGAGGAGGACGAGGAGGAAGAGGAGGATCGACGAATGAGGAGCATCAGCGAGGAGGCGGCCACCTGCAGCGCGCTGCCCGGAAGAGGCCAGGCGCTCTTGCCCCGAAGGCTGCGCGGAGCGGGGGGCCGCTCTGCAGGCGCCCCAGCCGGCGCCCCCTCACTCCTGAGAGTCCTCGAGCCCCCTCGGCGCGCGCCAGCCTCGCGCAGCCCAGGCCAACGTTTTCTTATTCGGCGTTTCTCGGGGGCGGCCAAGGAGGGGGGCGTCCAAGAAGGGGGGGGGGGGGTGGCAAATCATGGCCGGCGGCACGTGCGCGGCCCAGGGGGGGGCCAGGGAGGTAATGAAACAAGAGAAGGCGCCATGTAATCTGGGGAAACATCAATAGCCCACGCCATGAGATCCACCCCCCCTTAATCATCACCCCCCTCTTTTGCCGCCCCCGAGTTTCGACATTGGGTGGAAGGGGGGGGATCTGGCTCCGGATCTCTGCTCAGTGCGACTGTTTGAAGCAGTGCGTCCGATGGGGGAGGTGCCACCTGCTCGAAACAGGCGCCAGAAACAGCCAAGATCTACTCCATAGGGGGGGAGAAGGGGGTGCAGGGGTCCGCGCCGATCGGCAAAACAAAGAATAAGAAAACGATCGCCAGACCACCCTCGACGTCGTGGCTATTTCACGACGCGAGATGACGTAGGTACCTTACGCGGTGGCTCACGCGGGCTGCCAGTGCGGCGCGCTACTTTGGAGAAGAAGGCGCTTACGCGCGACCTTACGCGGGTTGCTTCCGCGCCCATGTCGGCGAAAACGACTCCGTTTTGCGTCGCTCCCTGAGGGTCGCTTAACTGGGGGGGGGCGATGGAAAGAGGGTGGGGGGGAAGGTATACTTTTCGGGCCCTGGAGGCCCCTTTGGGGCCCGAAAGGGCTCCTTTTATGCAGCCCTCGCTGCCCCCCCACTGGTCGCGGCCCAAACAACGCGGATCTTTGGTTGTGTCGACACCCTCCGGTGGCCGGCTTTTCACCCCGAGCGCCGTTTCTGGGCGGCCCCGGGGGGCCTGGCAGGGCCTCCCCGGGCACACCGATCATTGGCGAAACCTTGCGTCCCGACGCTGTCACAACGCGGCGAGGGGGTCTGGAAACCCCGGGCCGCCACTAGAAGAAGAACAGTCTGCCTAAGCATCGGCTTTCGCGGGTCCGCGCGGAGTTTGTGGATCGGCGCCAGACTTCTGAAGCTCATGCGTATGCAGATTCTTCTTCCTCAAGCCACGAAGGCAAGAGAAACAGCCAACCTACACTGAGGTCGGGCATGTCCCCCTACACGCGGACTTTAGGTGAAAAATTGAAGGAATGAGGCAATATGGAATAATTGTCAAATTACACTAGAGAAAAATCCAAATCAATTGATGGTTTTCGATGAGGAGATCGACAAGGAACCCGGGAGCCCGAGTACCCAAAACCCACCGAAATCGGCCTGGAACCAATATCTGGGAACCCGGGATCCTGGAACTGGGAACCCTGGAACCCAGTCTTCAACCAAAATCGGCGGGAAACTCTCGCCAAATCTTTCAACCTCCGCCAGGACCCCTTCAGTGCAAGCGCTGATTGGGGAAAATAGTTAAATAATCGTCCACAGGTTCTTGGGGGCTTCTTTTATACAAAACTAATATATATATATATATATATATATATATATATATATATGTTTGAATGTTCCCCCTGTAAAGCATTATGTTGCTCCTATCCTACTTGAAGACCGCACCCTCAAAAATGTCAAAAGAGTGTCGAAACAGTGCCGGGCGAGTGTCTTCCCAGGGCCCGACAGGTGAAAACCATTGAGTTTCAGTACTTTTTGGGGCGCTCGAAATTCTTCCTGGTGATCAAGGCTAAAATAAGTTTTCTTTGGGGCTGTAAAACTCTGAAGGTCATAATAGGAAACGACTGTCGAAAAATAATCAAAAATAGTCAACTCATCGTCTCCATATTATTTTTTGTAATAACAAAACACTGGGTTTGAATCTTCCTCCTGTAGGGGGACGGGCCCGACTCAAAACCTGCACGGCCGCTGCGCTGGCGCCTACGCGGAGGCCGGCGACGAGGCGGGCGGCTCCTCGGCCACCTGCGCGGCGGCGAGAAACCGGGCCGCGTCCGCCTCGCAGGCCGTCGCCGTCGGCGGCGGCGCCGTCGTCGGCATCGTCGCCGTCCACTTCGGATCGGCGGCTCAGAGAAGGGGCCCGCGGGATAGGAACCCAGACATGTTGGCGTCGTGACAAAAAATCAGGGCGGGTGGTTTTCGGTTCGTTTTCGGCCTCTGGGGGACCTTGCCCAGCCTCGGAACCGTCAAAAACCGATCCAGGATGAAAGACCCGTCACGGGGAAAAGGTCGGGACTTCCAGGGGCGCCGTCCTGAAAAGAATCAGGACGTCGCACGTCTGGGAAGGGACCCCAGCCGGAATTTGCACTGCCTGAGCCCTTTCGTCCTCGGGGCCCCGTCTCTCAGGGCCTCATGTCCTTGAGACGCCGCTAGGTGGTGGTCGCCACCGCCGTCGCTGTCCCCGTCTCGGAGCAGGGCGAGTCGACACAACGGCAGCTCAAAAATCGACCCCTGGGCCCCTCCCGGGGCCAATTTTCAGAGCTGCGCCCAGCCGTGGCGAAGAGGGCCCCCCGCCCCGAAGACTAACTGCCGATGCCTCAATCGGCGGTGGACAAACCTCCCTTTAGGAAACCTCCCCTTAATGGAAACGGCCTGGGACCGAAACCGACGGACCTGGACCCGCAAAAATGACGGCCGCGACGCCCTCTCGCGAACCGAGAACGGCCAATTCCTTAATCGACGTGTCAGGGTAGGAGGTCTGTCCACCCCCGCCTCAAGTCGCCCTCCCCTGACCGCCGTCGCCGTCGTGGTCGCCGCCGCCCGCCTGGAAGGCGGCGGCATTCCAGAGCGTCCTCGTGGGCTCCAGGGCGCCGCCGCACCAAGAGGCGGTGGCCGCCGCCGAGTACGCCGGCGGGGCCTGCGGGCGCACTTCCGTGCGCGCCGCCGCGCCCGCTCCGGCGCGTCCGGCGGGCTCGGCCTCCTCGCCCTGGTCCTCGGGGGGCAAGGAGGTGCAGTCGACTTGGCGGCGCGCAGAGGGGGTAGGGGGAGGGGGGAAAGGCTCCTTAGGAGGAGGCTGCTTCTTAGAAGGCGCCGGCCTTGCATTTGTAGAGAGGGCCCGCGCCTTCTAAGAAGCAGGGGTGTTTCCAAGAAGCCTTACCCCCTCCCCGTACCCCCCTGTGCGCGCCGCCATTGGACGCCCACAGGAAATCCAACCCTGAGACCCCAGGACGTCCATCGACATTTGGTGTGGGAGCGTCACGCGCCCCATGGCAGAACCATCGAGACCCAAGAAACCCAGAGCACCCTGGAGGCAAGCAGGGTGTTCTTCTCGGCATGGGCCCCCACTGTGCTGATACCGCTGCTCGCCAGGCCTCTCCAGGGGGCGCACTCTGACCAGGAACCTCGGGGAATAATCCAGCCGTGGCGCTGAGGGCTCTCTAGGACGAGCAGCGGTTTCGGTAGCTCTGCCTCCTCCGAAGTCCTGGTCCGGCAGCGGCTCCAAGAACGTCACCACACAATCGCTCTCCTCGTCGCCCAGCCCCGGCCCGCCGCCGCGCGCGGCGGCGAAGCACTGCAGCGGAAGGTCGTCCTCCTCTATAGGAGGACCCCAACCATACACCTACACCGATCCTGCCCAAGCTGACCAAGGGCGATCGGTGAATACAGTCGGGGTGCTGAAGAAGGAACCCTGTTCGTTGGGAAAGGGGCTCGGTGTTCCTTGATTGTTTTACAGTATGCCCTGGGTCTTCCTTAGGTGTTCAATGGTAAATCGAAGTTTTACTTATGGAAACGAAGGGGCCTCGTTCCTTATTTAGGGTTCCTTCGGTCAACGCCCCGACTGTACACCCGCCTGCCTTCTGCCAGCAGTAGCCGCCATCGAATCGGGACATCGGATCGGATCCACTGGGCGTCGGGTCAGGCCGCATCGGCCCGGAGTCGGCATCGAATCCAATCGGCCGCGCCAGCGTGCACACCGACGCCATGCAAGCAGCGGGCCGCGTCGGATCGCCGAACGATCGGAGCCGAACCGCATCGAAACGGCCAAAACCGATGTCGAATCGGATCGGTCGCGACGTAACGGACCCTCTCGGGCCGGAGGGCCCATACACCGATCCTAGGACCATAATCGGCCTGGCCAAGACCGGTACGGCCGGCCCGTGCCGTGCCTGCTCCGGCGCTGGTTCCTGACACTGCGGCCGCTTCCGAAACGCCCGACCGTTCAGCGTCGACCGATTCTGGGTCGCCGGCGGCGTTCCACGTTGAGCGCCGGCGGGCGGGGCCGCCGCCGGTCGACACGACGCGAACCTGCCGTGTGGGAGGAGGAGGAGGAGGAGGGGTAGGAGGAGGAGGGAGGAGGAGGAGGAGGAGGAGGAGGAGGAGGAGGAGGAGGAGGAGGAGGAGGAGGAGGAGGAGGAGGAGGAAGGGAGGAGGAGGAGGAGAGATCGAGGTGGAGGAGGAGGAGGAGGAGGATCGAGGAGGAGGAGGAGGAGGAGGAGGAGGAGGATCGAGGAGGTGCATTTGGGTGCCCTCCGAGCCTCGTCGCTCGCTGCGCCCCCCGCGGCCGCGCAGGGCGGCGGCTCGGGGCTGGGGTCGCGGAACTGCAGCGGCGCGGGCGGCGCCAGCGGGGGCCTGGGCCGCCGGAGCTGGAGGAGCAGGGGCTCACGCGCTCGGTGGGCGCGAAGTAGCACAGGGCAGTTTTTGTGATACATCGGATTTTTTAATATAGGATTTTTGATACATGATTAATGCATAAGTAAATGTACGCATGAACGCATCGTTGCTTCAATCCCTGCATTTTTTTATACATGATCCACACGCGGAGCATGTATTGAAAACGGCACTGTAGGAGAGAGGTGCCCTTTTCTGATAGGCGGCGCGCCCAGGGGGAAATGAGAAGTTGCAGGCCTTCCCAGAAAACTCGAAAATTTCCTGGCCTTCTGAAAAGTTTCCCGGAGCACGAACGGAACGAACCCCTGACTCGCATCCGCAGTTGCTGTGGCTTCCATATTGCTTCCATATTGGAGGGGTTCAGCTGGGATGCGGCCCAGACCGACGCTGTGGGTTTTGACAGCGGTGCGCCTGGCACCACGCAATCACGATGGGGAGGTGGAGCCACTGCGGCTGCCAGCGGTGCAGCAAGAGTTGGACGGCAGGACCATGAGAAGAAACATGAGGATCGGGGTGGGCGTCCGCTACACACCCGTACCAATCCCGATCCTGGTCAGGCCAGTCCCGAGCCCAGTGGACTCGTGTCTATGTGCCTCCCTCGCCCAGCCAGGGAGGGGCATACGCACCGATCCTTTTGGCCGTCTCCTCCGACGCCACGGCTGTAAGTCGTGACGTGGGCCTCGACACCCCCTCCGACCGGGGCTGGCTATTGTTCCATCCCGACTGCAATCCCACCAGCCCTCTGGGCGTCGGTGGTTTAACGAGTTTCCTCTTCCACCCCTCCCTCTTCCCCTTCGGGGAGGGGTTTACCCCTCCCCCTACCCCCTCCCCACTGACCTGGACAGGGGGTTCCGCGGCGCGTTGGAGCGCCCAAGATCGACCCCTGGGAGGGCTAAAATTCGACACCCCTCACGAGGATCGTGACGGACCCGGGGGCCACAAAACGGCCCCCCGACAGGGCCAGAGCGAGGAGAAGCAACAGGCGCCGCACATGTTCTGCGACGCCAGCCAGCTCTGAGGGACGGAGGAGTATGGCGATCGTGATGATGATGATGCTGCTGCTACTGATGATGCTGATGATGATGATGATGATGATGCTAATGCTGATGCTGATGCTGACGATGCTAATGCTGATGCTGATGCTGATGATGCTGGTGCTGCTGCTGATGATGATGATGATATTATTGATGCTGATGATGCTGCTGTTGGTGATGATGATGCTGCTGCTGATGATGATTATGCTGATGCTGTTGATGATGATGATGATGATGATGATGATGATGATGATAATGATGATGATGATGATGATGATGATGATGATGACGGTCATGACCATCGTGATGATGATGATTCGGCTGATGGTGCTGCTGACGATGATGATGATGCTGCTAATGATGCTCATGCTGATGCTGGTGGAGGTCAGGATCACGAACAAACTTAGACGCAAGAGGAGAGGAGCAACTGCGGCCGCTGGTAGGTAGCAGGAGCAGCAGGGACATCATCAGAGGGAGAAGCAAGAGCAGTGTAGGAGGAAGGGACGAGGAGCTGCAGCAGCATGGAGGAGGATGGAAGACGAAGGAGGCGCGATGAGGACTGAGGAGGTCCCCTGAGGTCAACAGAGACCTCCTGAAGTCTCAAGAAGGAAGGTGACCGATCAAACGCCCTAATCCTAGATCCTCGACGGGAGGAAAGTGAGGAGCAGAAGGACGAGGAGGAGGACGAGGCGGACGAGCAGGTGGAGAATGGAGAGGACGAGCAGGAGGACGAGCAGAAGGACCAGACGAGGAGGCGAGACGGAGGAGACGGGACGAGGCTGCGGGAGGAGGGGAGCGGAGCAGGACCACGAACACGCTGCCGGCGCTCGTGCCCGCCCAGCGGGCCAAGAGGAGCAGGAGCACGAGGATACAGTCGAACCTGGGCCAGAACATCCCTCAAGAACATGAGACCCTCTGCCGGCCAAAACAAACAGAGCATCCAACGGTACCCTCCACCAGGATGCGAAAGAACATCCAAGAAACACAATAAACACGAGGGTACCCTCCTCAAACCGACCTCGATCTTACACCTCCGTCCGACTGTATGGGCAAGTACCAATGACATAACTCAGAGGTCCACGTGAAATCCTCGGGTCGGCGCTGCCAGAGGGCCCCAGCGCCGATCCGAGGAATTCGCGCGGACCTCCGAGTTGTCCTATGCTTGTGTCATTCTTTGTTCCCCGAGAGGAGGAGCAGCAGGAGGAGGAAGAGGAGGGCGAGGAGGAGAAGGGGGAGGAAGAGGAGGAGGAGGAGAGGAGGAGGAGGACCAGTGTAAAGCCAAGACTCATCAACGATGATGAAACACACCCTCCCTCTCAGTCCATCTTCGCAAGCCACGATGGGGCGTCATTTCCCCTGAAGGACTTGCCTCAAGCAAGTACAAACACTATTCTCAGGATCTCAACGCCACGATCTAATATGTCTGCTACGCCCTGGCGATCCTGAGTCGTGCCAAAACACCATTCGTTTTTTCGGTTTTCAACACCGCGAATCAACGAAACTTGTGCGCCATGACAATCTTGAATCGGTAGGCGAAACATGAGAATCAATGAAACTCATGGAACTGATGCGCGCGAGTTAAAGTGAGATCCACATTTTGAAAAGGAACCGCCCTCAATCAGTGAGTCTTCCAGGTTTTCCCCACCCGACAAGTTGGGGTTGTTGGATTTCAAGAACAAGCCCCCCGGCCAACCCCTCCCTGCATACCGCGTCCGCCAGGACTCCAAATTGTCACGATGATCCGTTGGAATCCTGGTTGTCCCGTATCGCGCCCAGCCACCCCCACCCTGCATACCTAGGCAGCCAGACACCAAATTGCCCCGATGATCCCGAGTCGTGGGTGTCCCACCGCGCGCTTTCGGCGAACACGATTGAACGCAACATGTCGGAACAGAACATGACAGAACGGAACGAGGCATGACATAACAAAACGTAACAACAGCATGACAAACTAGAACAAAACAGAACGTCACAAAAAAAGAGCGCGACATAATTGACAACGACATACCATAACACAACAACTCAAAACGTAACATAACACACCTTGGCAGAACCGATATCATGACACAACATCGCAAATCAAACCATAACACGACAGCCAAGCATAGCGACAACGATCACGACATAACATATCATGATACAACATAACGTGACACCACAAGGCACGATCATGGCGAACAATAACAGAACCGAACATAGCACCCCCATGACAAAGTACAACGCTACATAATATCACATAACATACCAACACATGACATGACACAAGACGGCGTACGATCACAAAACGTATCATCGCCAATTCAATCATAACAAACATTAGCAAACCGTGCCATAGTATACCATGAAACGGCATCACCAAATCATAACAGGGCAAGATAACATCAGAACATAGCGACGACGAGCACGACGAACCACCACATGACACAACGCAACATGGCAGACCACAACACGGGCATGACGGCACATGACAGGATATCGCATAGACACGTCATGAAAATGCATCGCGTACCGTCACCTAGCATATCATTTCGCCACATGGCATCGCAACATGTGGTTGCACACAAGAGAGCGTTGCATACCTTGGCGCGAACCTGGCAGGACATAGCGTAGCTTCACAGCGCACCGCGTCGCATAACATTACCAGACCACACCAGCAGAACATAACGTCACATACTAGCAGAGGGCATCACAGTATAATATACAGAGACGAGCCGCAAGCAAACACACCATCACAAAACAAAGCACACCATAACATGACGTAACAGAAGACGGCAAAACACATAACAAAATACCATCGCCGAGCATCGCAGAATACAATTTGGCAACACATCTCAACCTATGACGCAGCATTACATTTACTCATCACGCAACAACATGAGCAGAACGACGACGAACACGACATAACGCAACATGACATAACATATCGTGACGTAACAATACAAATCATTTGAAACGAATACAAACACATAGTTAAGTTGAAGGAACTTCTTGCTAAATGAAGAAAGCCTTTTAGTAAAGTGTTGTTGCTCTGTTGCGCGACAGCGGCGGCGGCGCGTTCGAATTGCAGAACCACACCCTGCGCTCGCGCCATGAATCTGTTGTCAAAGGAGTATCTACAAGCCGCTGAAAATAGGTCCAACGATCGCCGCGCCCCCATGTAACGCGACCCTGGACACTCGAGCAAATGCATCGAAGGGTGAACTGGCAGGGAAGACAGGGGCCCCCCGCCTTCCGACCGGGCCCTGTGCCCGCATCCCCTGGGCTTCACTAAGGCAGACCGCGGACTTTACTGAAGCGAAGCAACGGCTCTACTGAAGCGAAGACGCGACCCTACGAAAGCGAGGAAACGGCTTCACTAAAGCAAAGGAGCGGCTTTAGTACAGGCGCGTCGATCAATGTTTTCCGAACAAAACACGACGTTTTACTAAAGCAACGAAAACAGCTTCAGTAAAACAGAGAGGCGGTTTGGGTAAAAATGCGCACAGAAATTTCGCTCCTCCCGTAAAATCTGGCGCGCGACTGCAGGAACGAGGGCGGAGCGCAAGTTCACCCGTGGGCCTGGGCCCTGTCGCCGCCGTCGCCGCGATGCTCGTCGTCGACGCCGTCGCCGTTGCCGCCGTCGTCGTCACCCTTGGCGCAGACGCCGCAGTCGTCGTCGCCGTCGCTGTCGTCGTCGCCGCGACGCCCGCGCATGCATGTTATTACCAGCGGCGGGTCGCGCGCGACCGCGCGCCATTCCGCTCGTTTTGCCGCTCCGACGCGGGCCAAGGCGGACATCGTGTTGTTTTCTTCCACCCTCAACTTTTTGCAAGTAGCAATGGGGAAATTAACTACGCCTCTGGGATCCGAGGAGGAGGAAAGGCAGGGGGGAGAGGTCCGCCTTCGCTCGCTCCTCTTCCTCCTCCTCCTCCTCCTCCTGCGTCGACCGCCTCCTCTTGCTCCTCCTGCTGATGCTCTGCCCCTTCCTCTTTCAACGGGCTGCGGCGCTCGATCCGTTTCGCACCGCACGTTTTCGAAACTTGTTTTTTCGCCCCGGGGTTTCTTTCAATTTCGTTCGTCAGGAGATCTGGGGTTGGATTAGACACAACGGAATTCGCCAAGCGGGCCGATCGCCGCACTGGCCGAGACCACAGGGCCCCGCGAGCAGACCTCCACCAATTAGACGACCGCGCGCCGTCGGGAACAAATGCTTAAGTTTTCGGTGTGGATCGCTCGAAGCCGTATAACTTAAAACGACTGCGCACGGTGCTTAAGCGAGCACCAAATTTTGAAAACGAACCGCCCTCAATCCACAAGACTCCTGCAATGTTTTAAAGCGAATGTGCGCGGCACTAAGGCGACCACAACATTTTGAACACGAGCCGCCATCAATCCGTGAAATCCGCCGACCCCTTGTGGGTCTCTAGGCGTGTGAGATAGTTCCCCCCGCATAACCCCCCCAGGGACCCCAAACCGGAGATTTGACCCCCCCCCCGGCCCGGCGCGAGCGCACCACGAGGCTTTTCAGGACCCCAAAAAGCTTAAAGACAAGCCAAGAAGGCCCCAAGAGGCCTCCAAGACGGCCACGAGGGCCCCGAGACACCAAACGATCGCTCCAAGACGCCCAAAATGGCCCAAAGACGGGCTAAGTGGCCTCCTAGACGGCCCAAGAGGTCCCCACGAGGCCCCAAGAGGCCTCAAAGATGCGCCCCAAGAGGGTCCCTAGACGCAAAAATTGACCCATTCCCTTTCTAAAACGTACAATGCTTCACAAGGTCGCCTTCTGGGCTTTCCGATGCTCCCAGACGGCCCAAGAGGCCCCCAATACCGCCCCAAGACGGTCCAAGAAGCCTGCAAGAGGGTCCCAAGATAGCCCAAGACGGCCCAACAGGCGTCCAAGACGGCCCAAGAGGGCCCCGAACACGGCCCCAAGAGCGTTCCAGGAGCGCTCCAAGTGGCCTGCAAGAGAGCTCAATCTGGTCCCACACGGTCCAAGAGCGATCAAAAACACCGCAGATGGCCTCCAGACGGCCTAATATGCCCCCAAAAAGGCCCCGAGAGGCATCCAAGACGCGTCCCAAGAGAGCCTGTGGACGCAAAAAGTTGGCCCGTTCCTTTTCGTGAAACGTACATTTTTCACCAATTCGCCGATTGGGCTTTCCGATGCTCCCAGAAGGCCCAAGAGGCCCCCAAGTCCGCCCCAAGACGGTCCAAGAAACCTCCAAGAGGGCCCCACGACAGCCCAAGAGGGCCCCGAGACGGCTCAAGAGGCGCCGAAGACGGCCCAAGAGAGCCCCGAATACGGCCCCAAGAGCGCTCCAGGAGCGCTCCAAGTGCTTCCAAGAGAGCTCAACATGGTCCCAGACGGTCAAAGAGCGATCAAAGGCATCCGAGATGGTCTCCAGATGGCCCAAGACGCTCACAAGAGGCCTCCAAGATACGTCCAAAGAGGGTTTCTAGACGCAGAAATTTGCTCATGTCCTTTGTAAAACGTGTACTGTTTCACAAATTCGCCTTGTGGGTTTTCCGACGCTCCCAGACGGCCCAAGAGGCCCCGAAGACCGCCCCAAGACGGCCCAAGAGGCCCCCAAGACGTCCCAAAATGGCCCCAAGACGGCCCAAGAGGTCCCCAAGACGGCCCAAGAAGGCTCCAAGACGGCACCAAGAGGGGCCCGCCCCCACGAGCCCCACGAGCCCCAGGGGGCCCCAAGAGCACTCCAAGAGGCCGCCAAAGGCCCCCAAGAGGCCGCCAAAACGCTCCACGGAGCCCCCAAGAGGCCCCCAGGAGGCCCCCCAAAGACCCCCAGACGCTTCCGTATTGCGAGCCGCGAAGCCAACTGCAATGCACTCCGCGCATACAGCCTTGCTCTTCCTCGTGAAGTGCTCACTATCTTGCTCGGCGCTAATGTGCTGCTGCCGCGCGAACTGTTTAGTGCGCGCTGCGAACGTCGACAGCCTCTTCACCCGTTTCGACTCATCTGCCACATCTTTCGCGGTGATGCGTCGCTGATCACAGCTTCCGCACACCACTCTTGCTCCTTTCGTCTTCCGGTGGTCCTCCACTTGGTTGCGGGTCGAAAGGCCGACCTCCCAGAAGAACACCCCGCACCCGGGCGCACAGCACGCAAGGCGCTCGCAAAACACGCCCCAGACCACCGGCATCACGCAAACATTTGGACCCCCTACGTATCTGCCACCACCCGCGCGCGACACCGCGACCTCACACAAGACGCCGCTCGCCACAAACTCCTGGCCTCGCAACACTCACAGAAGGGGTCGGCGGATGTGGCGCAAGCCTGTAGAATCATTGCATTGTTTAACAACGGCTGTGCGCGGCGCTAATGCGAATACCTCTTTTTGAAAACCACCCGCCCTGAATCCGTTAAACTACTCATTCCAAATGCTTGAAACAAATATGTCCTCCATCTGTGAAACTGTTGCCAATGCCTTAGCTTCATGGTCATCAATGGAGAAGATGTCTCAAGCGAAACGCCCGGCCCGCCATTCCGACCGGCCTAGGGGTGCGACAGGGAGGGGCTATATATATATCTACAATCGGCGAGCGCGTTCCACTACTCGAAAAGTAACTACTCGCACATGGCATGGATCCCCCACGGCGAATCTACGATGAAGTACATCAAAGCAGACATGTGTTTTTTCTCGGGCGTTTGCGAGTAGGCACTTTGCGAGTAGTGGAACGCGCTCGGCGATATAAGGAAGAGGAATGGAGGAGGAGGAGGAGGAGGAGGAGGAGGAGGAGGAGGAGGAAGGGAGGGAGGAAGGGATGGAGGAGGGGAGGGAGGAAGGGAGGAAGGGAGGAGGAGGAAAGCCGAAGGAGCAGCGCGAGAAGAAGGTCCCCCTTCCCCCTGGGGGGTTGCCGCCACAATGGCCTGGGAGCCACCGCGGTGGCACCCCTCGCCCGCCAGCCTCCGGCAGCGCGCCGGCGGAAGGAGCCTCGGGGAGGGGGGGAGCGAGCGAGCGAGGGGTGGGCGCAAGTGGGGGGGGGGAGGGAGTCCTCCTCCTCCTCCTCCTCCTCATCCTCCTCCTGCTCTTGCTCCTGGTCCTCCTCCTCCTTCTCCTCCTCTCCTCCTCCTACTACTCCTCCTCCTCCTCCCTCTCCTCCTCCTCCTCCACCTCCTCCTCCTCTTCCTCCTCCACCTCCTCCTCTTCCTCCTCCTCCTCCTTCTCCTCCTCCTCCGCCTCCTCCTTCACCCCGCCTCCTCCTCCTCCTAGGGCTAAGGCTGCGGACGGTGCAGTCGACCCGCACGGTAAGGATGGGTAACCATCCCAAGGGTACCCTTGCATCCTTGCCTGCTCGGCCCATCATCATCATCATCGTCATCATCGTCATCGTCATCATCATCATCATCATCATCATCATCATCATCATCATCATCATCATCATCATCATCATCATCATCATCATCATCATCGTAATCATCATTATCATCATCATCATCATCATCAGCAGCAGCAGCATCAGCATCAGAAGCAGCAACATCAGCATCAGCATCAGCATCAGTCTCATCATCATCAGCATCATCATCACCATCATGCTCATCCTCATCCTCATCCTCATCAGCATCAGCATCATCATCAACATCATTATCATCATCAACATCGTCATCGTCGTCGTCATGATGATGCTGCTGATGCTGATGGCGGTGGTGATGAGAACGGTGGATGGTGAATGATAAATTGGACCGGCATCGCGCAACTCAAAATTTGACGCTCTGCGAAGTGCCGGATCGAAGCCCGCCTCGATCATGTCATCCAGGTGCGCAGAATCCCCTGCAGGGAAGTACGCTCAGAAGACGTCTAGGCAGCCGCATGGGCCCAACAGGCGGGGTACTGCAGCCCTCGAAGCGCACGCTGCCGAAGCGCTTCACGAAATCGCCCTTCGCTGTGATCCCGACACCTGCGCCTGCTGCCGAGGGGCCGAGTCCACCAAAACGAGCAGCCTGGCGGATTCCGCCACAGACTGCATCGGTCCGCTGAACCGTGGGTCTCCGACCAGCAGCCGATGCCGTGGGAGGCCATCAGCCTGCGCACCATCTGTGAGCGGTCCCGGTGCTTGTCCGGGCCCGCGGCGAAAAGGGCCTTGGTGTTCCAGGTGGACAAGGGGGATGGGGTGGGGGGGCGCGGCGTCGGTGCCAGACGTCGATGCCCGCTCTGACCTTGGAGCCGACTCACGAGCACGAGGGCGGAGGCGACTGGCGGGAACGCCAGCAGGGTGGAGGTGGCGAGGAAGTGGAGCCCCTGCGAGCCCCTGGAACCTGTGGAACACCCGCGCCCTCAGGAGCCCGACCGTCACCACCTACCGGGGCGCGAGGGGTAGGATGGACGGGGACTGACCTGACCCTGGCGGGTGCGCCCTGCGCAGCGGTGGGGCGTCGCTTCAGTGAGGGCTGGTGCACAGCCCAAGGGACCCAGACCCCCACATGTCATGAACAAATCATGACGGGAGGCTTCGCGCTATTTCCGACCCCGGCCCCGATCGCTGATTGCGATTTACGAAGAGGCAAGTCGCTGTCTGGAACAGCAGCCGCATCGGCAAAACGTTGCCAAGGGAGCCGATGCAGAGGAAGGGCAGGAATGTGTGGCCACAGCCTGGGGATCAGGTATGGTGACCATCAAAAGTAGAGCTGGAAGAAGAACGTACGCGCGATACCGGATTCGAGCCATCAGCAGCCCTGTTGTAGCCTTAGTCGACCTGGACCATAGCACTCGGATGCACAAGAGTGCAGCGGAGGGAGAGGTCGAGGTCCAGCAGCCAGCGCATGGTGCCATCGGCTTGAGAGAATGACGCTCAAGGATCACGTCGTCGTCAACCGTATATGGATCTTTTCTGCCGATGGCCATCGCCGATACAAGGAGCTGCCGCTTCAGCCAGCACAAGCGAAACCCGACGCCGATGGTGGACATGCCGAGGGGGAGAAAACGGTCAACACGAGTCCGAAGAATCTCAGCACTGCTGCAAATGCTCCAGACGGGGTCCCTAGCTATGATCATGCAAAAATCCGTGGACGACTGGCCGCGCAGGAATGAGCAGAGCTGCTCTGTCGGCAGGTCCACGACGAGGCCGAAGATGCCAGAGGCTCGCGATAATGGCGTTCGTGGAAGCACAATCGCTGGGAGAGTCCGCCAGCCCGTGCGCGCGATTCGGAAGCAAGGCCTCGACGAAGTTGGCGAAGACCATGCGTACCTGGCAACACCACCTCGACCGGCTGGGGCATCAAGCTGACGTCCTCGACCGACGTAACATGCATCTCCCCAAGAGTTGGGTGAGTCCATGAGAGCAAGTCTTGTCTTGGGACACCGTGGCCACTCCTGGGTCCGCAAGAGGGCGCTGACACGAGGAAATGCATCTCGACTTGGAAGCTGTCGGGGCCCAGCTGGCGGAAGTGAGGTAGGATCGGGCCACGGGCGGACGTGTCCCCTGGCGCCCAAGCTCTTCAGCTCGTCGAGCTGGTCTCCCCTCTCTCCAGCAGGTCGGCGAGGCGACGGTGCTTGCTGACTGCAGCCGCATGCTGCCCGCAAGGGTAGAGGCCCGCGACCTCTGGGTGATGAGGCTGCCACCATCGGCGTGCGGAGAGGCGAGCACCGCGGCAGTGGCGTCGGATCCCGGCTCCTTCCACCGCGGCAACTGGTCAATATGCAGCTGGCGTCAGGAGCCGCGAGCATCCGCAAGGCCCTCCACGCGCGGGCTGCCGCGGAGGCTACGGCACCCCGCGCCTGAGCAGCCATGGCACGATCATTGGAACTCCAGGCGGCGTCGTCGGCAAGAGACAGAAGCAGCGCAGCCGTCCTGGCACGAGAGGCGAGACCATTGTCAGTGGGCTCCGGGCCAAAGAGGGGGCCCGTGCCCAACAGCGACCAAGAGTCCTGCGCGTCTAGCCGACACACCTGCTCTCTCGGGATGTTGTTGAGACCTCGCACGTGTGTAGGAAGGGCCACCGCCACTCGCACCGCGGCAGCAGCTGGAGCGAACTCAAGGTGCGGAGTGTTCCCGATTCGATTGAGAGGTGGAGATCCTCCAACGGCAAGTGGAGGGGAGAGACAACCCTAGGTCCTGTCGAGGCGGCCGCGGCAACCGGCGGAGCGCCAGGACGGGAAACCGCCTCTTCGACGTGAATGCCGAGATCCGTCGATGCCGAGATCGGCGCCCCCATGAGTAAGAGAAGCGTCACCTTAGGCATGGAGGAGGGGGAGGAGGAGGAGGAGGAGGAGGAGGA